TTTTCCAGGTTTTGTCCAACATGTCAGGATCATTTTGAATCCATCTGAAGCCCTTCAGCATCCTTGCTGTGTTTTCTAGCTGGGCATCATCTGCAAAGTGAACAGATTCTTTGGAAATACACTGGGTTTTGTGAATTTTCAAGGAAACAACTTGTGATTCTGAGTTTGTTCCAGTATTTTTCCATATTATAATGCATTTCATCCTCACTTAGATGACTCAAAACATCTAACAGGTCTAATGCTGTTCTTTCCCATTTACCCATAGTAACCTGACTTGGAATTCCTTCTTGGGTTTGACACAGAGTTCATTGCTTGCCCAGGCCAGTCTCTTACTTCATTTCCTGTGCCTTCTCTGAACTTGTGTACTGTGCCAGTAATATCAAGGAATGACAACTTTCCCTAAATCCTTTTTCCTCATAGATTTGTTTCCATTATTTGCCATTTTTTCCCAGTTTATTAGTCACTCTCTTTGAAAGCCATGCTTTCTGGTTTGTTCTCCATTCTCCTTTTCCCTAGCTGGTACAGTTGCATTTCATATGCCATTTTGTGATTCAAGTCTGATGCTTTTTATCTCCTCTCAGGATAGAATCAAATCCCTTCTAAGGATTTGAAGGAGGAGGGAGAAGATAAAAGACACTGCAAGGCAGAGAAAAAGAAACATTGAACCAAAGGAGTGAAAATCTCCTCTTGGAGCCCAGTAGAAAAGGATGAAAGTTGCAGATGTATAGATCTTGCTCAATTAAGTATTTCCCCATGCACAGTATTTAAATCTCTGCACCTTTTAGAGATATAATGAGATATGCCAAAAAATGCCTTTGTTCTTCAGTGGAAGTTCTGCATGCAGCAGAGCAGCAGGGTCAGTATACCGTATAGGAATAGACTGAAACCATAATACCACATTATTCTGTTACATTATGTTATTTTGCCGATGATGGGGAGCAGCCCCCAAAGCATAAAACATAGTATAATATATTTGGCTAAATTCTGGGAAATGTTAAGTGTCTCAAGCTCATCTCAGGGTTCACTGGAGTTGTGGTGCCCAGTAACTCTTAGAAATTGCATCATAAATAAAATGTTCTAGCAAATTCACGCTGCTAGACTCTCATGGTTGTCTAACGTCCTAGAGACATTATGCTTTGACTTCCATGTAGATTCTTTACGTTGTCGGAACCACAGAAATATGCAGCAAAAAAGACATCCAAATATTTATTTTCAAACAACTTTTAACACAGAAATTTTCAAAAAAAAGCTCCCAATTCCCTGAATTGACCTTTTTTTCTGTGTTGGCTGGCTGCCTACCATACAAGGACTCTGTACAACTCTCTTGGGAGAGGATTCTCCCAAATGGTCTATAAGCTCTGGTGGTAGAGTGTTTATTTTCACGACCCAATTGCAGATCTGGTATCACAGAGTTGCATGGGGTTCATTGATGTTACGTATTTCTCCTCCCTGAAATAAGAAGCCAGGGGTATAAATAAGGCAGCAACAGGAATCTTTCATGTGCCTTGAAATACAGTTTTGCTGACATCAAATCTGCATGCCCTATTCCGAAACTGTTCCCGCAAGTTCCTCTTTCCCAAGTTAAATATTTGAAGGAGGATGTCATTGGTCACTTAGTCATGTGCTGCTTTGGTCTGATGACAGGAGAAAGCATCGAGTCCTTTCCCACCCAGTCATGTTCGAGGAAAAGGCGAGACATGAGCTGGTAATTTGTGCTTAACAAGCCAGCACTTGATGCAGTGAGTCCATCCTGAGACCCAGGTCACATGCTAGAACCAACCAGGGGTGTGATTTTTTTTTTTTTGCTTCCCCAAAGTCTTCCTGGCTTTGCCGTGGCTGCGATGTCCAGGGATGCAGCTAACCCATACAAAGGATTGCAGACTGCGCTGAGAGAGTCTAGCTTAATGGGTGCCATGCTTTGGCATGCTTTGACCAGCACTGCTTTTGGCCATGAGACTTTAAATACTCAAAATTGAGGCCGGCAGGAACAACAAAGTGCCACATTGCACCAGGGTTGGTGCCCAGGGTCTGACAAGGAACGGGGACAGATGAGCTAGATTCTGCAAGATGCATGGGCCTAGAAATAGCAGAAGCGTGCTGGGTTGTTTGCCTTCCTGAGGAAGGTGGAGGTGGACAGGCAGTGCAGTAAGTTCTTGGGCAGCATTCGCCCTCCCCTTCCCCTACAGCGTTTTTTTCTCAGTGCCACTTTTGTGTTGAAAAAATGGTGCAAATAACTGAACGCAGCATTGCCTTCAACAGCTGTGAACAGCTGTACTCCTAGATGGGCGACCTGCCCATCCAAACAGTTGGTGAACTTTGTTTACTACACTAGAACAGAATCCTGCGAAGCGCGGGTGCTCGTCACATCGTGGTGCCAAAGCTTTGCATTTAGCAGGCGGACTGAGGGGCAGTGATTCTGAGCCACTGACCTCCTGCAGCACGTCTCTGCGCCTCCTCAGGTGGGGCTGGGAGATGGACTGCACCCGCTGAAGGGGACAGTGTGTTCAGATCCTAAGGGAACCACACGAAGAAGATGCCATAGGCTTCCTTACCAGGATTAAGCCCCTAGGAGCTCCCTCCTTTCTTTATTTCCCCGGTCTGGGCTCTTTGAACATCATTTCCTTCATCCTTCTGCATTGGTCACTTAAGACCTCCGCCATCTGGCACATTTCCAGGGAAGCAAGTGCCTATCATGCCTTTAGCTAGTGTTGCCCTGCCCTGGGACGGGAGCCGAGGGCTGTCACACACACAGCCTCATTGTATAAGCTGGTAGACACGAGCTATTTGTATCAAGGCTGACATATAAAGCATTTGTTTACTAACGGCTGCCACAGACTAGGCTGGGATTAGGGCTGGGGGCTAAGAATGACTCATTCTGGCCTTATTTCTGGGCCTACCAAGTGTCCATTAAGTGCAATAGACACTGGGAATCAGGAAGAGACTCCCAATGTGAGCCATTTTGGTCTCTTTCCTCATCTGTGCCAGTAAGTCTGGTGCACTTAAGGACTGCGACTGCAGGATTTGTGCATGCTAAGACTCCAGAGAGCTCAGCTGTGCTGCTTTTGCTCCACTGATACTGCCTGCTAAGAGATACTTTTATTTCAGAATTTTAATTAGAGTTAGTTGATTGCTTCAGTAAATAATAATGTAATGCAGGCTAGCAAAATCATCTAAATCATCTAATTGCGGCCTTCAATACCTATGTTTATTTCAGCAGCAAGGGAAGATACCAGCCTGTGACACAAGACAGGCTCAAAACAAAGGAGGCACTGATCGTAGGTCTGCAGTCTCGCTCAAATGCACAGGCACAGTCAACTGCAGTTAACAGAGACTGTCAAAATCCCTTGCTTACTGTGCAAGACCTCCACTTTTCCTCAATAAAATAGTATATAGAGGTTGTGTGCACCTAGGTTTTAGTGCAGCAGCATACATTTTAAGCTCCAGAATCTGCTCAAACTCTTTCAGACCAGTAAGAAGTTGAGCATAGGCTAAAAAAAAAAAAAAAAAAAATAAAGACTCTTAGAGCAGTGCAGTGTGGTTTTCAAAAGTACTGAGTCACCTGGTCCCTCAGAAGTGTACAGAAAGTTTGGCTTTGACTTCAAAAGAATGATAGGGAGCGCTGAGCATGGATGTAGCAACAACACATTTCAAATATGCTTCCTCAGAGTCTGTCCTATCATATTCCGCTGGCGCATCCTTCACCTTTGTAATGTCGGAGGGGCATTCATGTGGAATAGGATTCACAGGTCAGGGAAATGTGTGCCGTTGGTTTGCTAATTTTAAATGTGCCCTCTGTAGTACAGTTCACTTAAAACTAGGTATAGATTGTTGAAACTGTACTCAGTCAGGCTGAATCCAAAATAAGACAAATAAACATAACAGGTCTCTGTCCCCTCCCTTCATGCCAGCAAATACCCAGGTAAACAGATGCACTTGGCAGCACTACAGAATAAACTGACTTGTGATCTGCTTTGCACTTTGGCACTCTCTACGTACAAAGCTCCTCTCAAGTCAGAGGGCTTGGGTCAGGGGCCAGAGTTTTCATCCACTGCTGTGGGATATGGGCCCTGAGGTCCCATTGACAGTTGTAATCCTCACTTTTTTAGGAGGTGTATCTGTCATAATATAGGAAAAAGTGTATGTTCACCATTTATTCTGTTTGCATGAGAGATTCTTTATTATTTCTGACATGTTCAGGGTTACCAGGAAATGTTTTCAAGGCTGGAGGGTAAAGCCTCTGCTCTCCAGTGTCTTATATTGATGGGAAAATGTGGGACTGGTTCAGTAACTGACCTGTGTGACTAATCTGACCCTGTCAGCAAGGTGTCTCAGAAACCTGCCAGCTCCTTATAGCTTTCCCTGAAATAAGATCAGAGATATATTTCTATGGTGATTCAGGCTTTGTTGGATTCCTGCTTGTAAGTCACAATGAGGGGCAGGGGATTTAGAAGGCAAGAGGGAACACAATCCCGGACTGGTTTTCCATTTCAAGTGCTGGATGGATCCTCACTTCAAGGAAGAATAGCAACAACTGTATTGTCTTTACCTCTGGAAAGATGCTGTCTTTCAAATGGGAGTGAAATAACTGAGGGTGGTGGCTTAGGTGATGGTCCATCTCTGTTAAATGCTTCCTGGCTTCCTGCTTTGACCTGAGCTTGCAGTTGGGTTTAGCAGATGTTTTCCATGCCTTCTGTTGAGCCAGGTGGGATCTACTCTGTAGCAGGATGGGGGAATGCCCCTTTGGGCTACAGATGATAATGTTATCACACGGAGGAGGGAAGCCATTTCTTAAATCATGCAGACCACTTTTTAAGAACCGCAAGTGCTGGCCATTAAGTGAATCAGAACCTCTGCTGCTGCATGCTGGCAAGCATCTTGATGACTGCTTTTCCTTGTACCTGAAACCAAAAAAACTTTAGTTAGTGCTGGAAATACTGGCTTTATAAAAAAGTGTGTTTGAAGACTTTGCTTGTATTAAGAAAGCAGGAATAAAGGCTCACCACATCTGGCCTGTGCTGTGACAGTTTAGCTCCACTGTGTGAAACTGGCAGACGAGCAGCGCTCATCCTCACAGCTCTGTGCCGCGAGATCCTGGCTGCCTGGCGTGGAAGGGCAGAGCTTGGGGACTCCATATCACTAGGAGACTGCGTCCAGAACTGCCTGCGGGGCCAAGAGAGGCTCTCCGTCACGTAACTCATCCCCAGGCACTCTCTGTTTTCTTTGCCCTGTCCTTGGGACACGTGCCCCACACGCTCCTCTTGCCTGTCCCCATGCTCGCCAGGTCTGCCAGGAGCTCTGCCAGGTAACATGGTGCCTTCACTGCTGTTGGAGATAAGAAAGCTGAGCTGAATTATGGATGGCCTCTTCCTGTGTTGGCACAGCCAGGTTCTCCTTTGCTCTACTGCTGTGAACAGTGTGGGCACATCTCATCTCTGCTCTCAGTTCCTCCCTGGGTGCTGCTGCACTTGGACTTGTCCCTTGGCATGCAGAGGGTGTTCCCAGGGGTCCGGGCCTGTTTGCAGTGCTCATCAGCCACAGCACATGCAAACCTGGTTGGTCCTGGAGCTGCTTCAGGACTGTATAGAAAACTGAGGGCTTGGAGAAGTTCTGTCGGTCTGCCTGGGCCCTAGCTGTAATGGCTCCTCCCCAAGGTGTCCTTGGGGAAGAAAGCAAGCTGAGAATAGGATTTAATGCGA